TTTCATTTCCCCAAATGTCTTTACTCTCCTTTTGCTTTTGATTGACACTTTGAGTGAATATAGAATTGTACACTAAAACTGATTTTTCCTCATTTATTTGAAGGCATTGTTCCATTGGTTTATAGCAGTCTTTGTTGATGATGAAAAATTTGATGCTAATCTGATTCTCATTCCTTTATAAAAAAGTAAAAACTAAAAGTGGCTGAAGACCCAATTTTGGGGTAGAGAGGCAAAGCTCCAGAAAGACCTATAAAGACAGACAATTGAAGTCAAAGGCTAGCACTGCCAAGCTACAAGACTCATTCTGGCTACCTGTCAAGGTTTCAGAGGACCTCTAAATCTAGTCAATGACAGTATATAGGAATAAGAGCTAAACTTAGGGACACAGCTTGACCCTTTTTGATCAGACTTATGATACTAATTGTCTACATTATTTTGGTGGGGGAAAGGAGTCATCAGACACTAGGAGTTTGGGAACCCAACTTAGATGCTAATATTAAGAGTCATCAGACACTAGGAGTTTGGGAACCCAACTTAGATGCTAATATTAAGTGTTTATATTTTCACTACCGTGTAAACATCACACATCTTTATCCTTCATAGGGAACAAATGAAGCTTCTATCTAAAAAGGTACTCAGGAAATTACCCTCCAGATTTTAAGAATAAAACTCTGGAGGCCTGAAAAGCCCTAGACTCTGGTATAGTTATTTCTTCCTCTTGATTCAGATTTAGTTTCTCTTGTATGACCAAGAAGAGTGAATCAGAGAGTAGACAATCCTCTCCCCCGCCTTTTTTTTTTTTTTTTTTTTTTTTTGAAGTACTATGGGGAAATAAAAAGCTTAGGGTGGAAAGCCGCCACCACAGAGCTAAAGCACCTGAAGTTAGCTAGCAAAGTATTGTAATGGGATCATGAGCAACTTGTTATATCACCTGCAGGAAATTACTTTCTATCTGACACTAATATATACTTTGATCACAAATTCCACTTGCCCCCTAAACCCTTTGCTTCTTACACGTACAAGTTAATGATTACTATCTGATTGTTTTCTCCACATTCACATGTGTAAGATACTGTTTTCTTCACTTTCACCATGTGTGTAAGATCTTGAGAGCTCAATAAATACGGAGAAGAAAACGCCATTCTGGTCTCTTGACTCCTCCCGGATATTAGCCTCTATCATATTCAATTCTGCATCCACTCTCTTGCCGGACAAGAGAAAACTCCAGATTCATAGTCTGCGACAAAGCTCCATATGTAGGGCTTACTTCATTTGGTCCTTACTTGAACTTTTATTAGATAGTTCAATTTTCAAATTTTACACATTTCTAGCAAGAGAAAATAGAAACAGCATAAGAACATTGTCTCTCTTTGAAAATAGCAATCAGGCATGAAATTTTATTTTTATACTAATAATAATTTTATATAATGCTGATATGGTAACTTTTACTTTAACTTTTGTTTTAGTGAAAACAACAATAAAGATAAAGATTTTTAAAGATGAGAAGTCACCTATCTGCCTATTATCCTACTAGGGCAATTGTTTTAGTTTTTGTATATCTTTCTTACAGATGTGGCACAAAACTGTAGGGCTGAAAGACACTTTGGGAATTCAACTTGTCCAATTTCTTCATTTTCAGATGAGAAAACTAAGACCAAGGGAGCTATGAGGTTAGTCCAGAGTCCTACCTTATCACTTCTTTAAAAGAAATTTTAATGCTAAATTAATAAAGACATGGGTAACTCCCTAATTGTCCCTTTTCTCTACTGAGAAAGCAACTGAAAGGGAGATAATATCTCTGTTCTGTAATACAGTATTAGCCTTATCAAAAGCAATGCCTGGGGAACTATAGCTGCAAAGTCTGGATTACTTAATAAAAACTCCCAGAAGTCCAGGAATTTCTAGAAAACAGATGTGAATTCAAAGCCTCTGGATTTAAGAATTTGTATTTAAAGTTCACATACTGTTATGCATTGCAACTGCTGAGACTGTCTGCAGATTGTTAATTCTGGAATTTACACTCCTTGATAAAAAGGCAAATTATAACTCTTAAAAAGAGCACCTAATTGAGACTTTCTCTGTACTGTAATTAAAAGAATTAAAATAGCATCGAAAAGAGGAGTGCTTAGTAGGGAACGTGGATGATTTTCAAAACAACTGTGTTAGAAATCCGGGCTCCCTTAGTGGGATTCTTATTGTGCCACAGCAGAAAGAGGGAAACAGCAGAAATATGGGAACAGAAAACCCCAGTTCTGAGACTAGTCTGCCACTAGGAACACAATCTGAGGCAAAACAACTTAATTTTTCTAGTTTTGTTTCCACATCGATCAAATGAGGTTAGCTTAGCAGATCTCAATTCTTTTCCAACTATAAAATTCTGATTCCTTCCCCCACCAATGTAAAAGGTAGCCTGTGTTTCAGTCTTTGAGAAAACTCCAGGTGTAGGAGAGCTGGTGTTATTAACAAGGTCCTAATATCCTTTTGTTCTCTTCTCCTTCTGAGGTAAGGCATGGGCAGAAACCTGGCTCTTTGAATGCCCCTGTCCCTCCTTCATCTCTCCCAGCCTCATATCCTATCTATAACAAAACCCCAGTGTCTCCTCATTTGTTTCATCACTCCTCCATCCACACGACCAACAGTTTTTAGTACTGGGCCTTACTACCTGAACCACAGGAACAAATCATGGCTTTTCTCATGTTCTTCTCAGTGTCTACTCTCCTATTTATGGAGTTCTGTTCTATCATTAAGATTTACATATGTACAGGAGTGATCCTTGATTTCTTTCTCTCACACTTCATATTCAATTTGTCAACAAATCCTGTTGGATTGGTCCTTTTTTATTTGCGAGAGAGAGAGAGAGAGAGAGAGAGAGAGAGAGAATCTTAAGCAGGCTCCATGCTCAGTACAGAGCCCAAAGTGGGCTTGATCCCACGACCCTGGGATCATGACCCAAACTGAAATCAAGAGTCGGATGCTCAACTGAGTAAGCCACCCAGGCGCCTCTTGGCTCCGTCTTTAAGATATGCCCAAAACATGAGTGCTTCTTATCATCTCTACTGTTACCCTGGTCCAAGCCAGCAATAGCTTCTATCTTTTTACTTTTACGTTTGTTCCCTTTCGATCCATGCTCAACACAGCATCCAAAGTGATCTTACTAAAACATTAAGTTAGATCGACGTCACTCCTCTGCTCAAAGTGAAATTCTTTGCAATGCCCTAAAAGGCCCTAGATGCCCTAGCCATTGTTACCTCGCTAACTTAATTCCCACTATTCTCCGCCTCTACTCCAGCGACATAGACTGACTTACCAGTCCTCCAATTTGCCAATTAACTCCAACATCTCTTTCTCATGAGCCTTCTGTGTTATTTTACCACACTGCCTAAAATCACAAAACCTCTTTTTCTTGTTTTATTTTCACTTCCACACTTATTACTATGTAATAATTAGCACAGTACGTTTTACTTATTTTTCTCTATTGTCTCTCTTCCCCATGGGAGTAGGGATTCTTGTCTGTTTTGTCTATTGCTATATTCCAATCATTTAGAACGGTGCCTAGCACAGTGGATGCTCAATAATTATTTGTTGGTTATTAATCGTGAGAAACTGTAGCAAAGGAGCATAACAGCATTCAAAGATGGAGACAGACACTAGATAAAACGTCTTATTTGATTGTTTATGGCAAAACAAAATGTGACCATCTTCCTAATCTTAAGAAGTAAAAAAAAAAAAATCCTTGCTTTTTAATTGTTTTACATCTAACACACTTTCAATCTCAGAGAAAGCATTCTCCATCATCCAAGCCTTAATCTGCTCCTTAGGGGATGGATCCCCTTATTTCTCAAATATTATTGCATACATTTGGGAGCGCCTCTAAGTTACACAAAAGAAACTAAGTTCTGTTTTAAATTAAAAATTTTAGGTCTTGACCTTTTAGTGCTTAATACGCTAAACAAATTCTAAGATTGTAATATTTAATTCCAAGAGGAATTATGTGCTATTAAATGTAACAAAGAGAGCGATGATAAATACTATGCGAACATCAAATTTATAGAAGAGGTAGTTTAAACTCCATTTTGCTGTTTTCCTCCGTTTTTCCTTTATCAGAAAGACGCACCCTGGCATACAGGAGACGACTGATTTATATTTAACTAGTAATGGACAGATTAATGTTCCCAATTAAAAGGGGCACCTTGAATTTTTTGTCACCGCACTAGCCGGAGCGTTGTGGTCCTTCAACTCTGTTCGCATTCTGCGTTAGCAGGGACCTGAATTTACCAGTCCAACAAACTCCAAGAGGGACGTCCTCACTCTAGGATGACGACGGGAACGCGTAGGGGGGCGTCGCCCGCTCCCTCAAGGTCCTGGGGGAAAATCTGTGGTGTAGAAGTGGTTCCACAGCAAGAGCGTGAGACGGCCTCTGAGCTCAGTCTGGCGGACTTCGTCCTCAGTCCTCTGCGGTCCGCAGGACCCGCTTCTCCTCCGAGGAGACAGTGGGACGGGCCCGTTAGCTGACAGCGCCTCCCGGCGTCCCGCAGCTTGAGCCGCGCCCCGGACCTGGGGTGGGGGAAGGGCGGTGGCGGCGCTCGCGCAGCGTCGAGTTTCCCAGAATTCCCAGCGGCCGCGGGGAAAGTTTACGGGACGTAGGCGGTGGCGGCGGCGGCGGCGGCGGTAGCGGTTACTAGGCGGCCGGCGGCGGACCATGGCCCTGGCCGGGCGTTTCTGGCCTCTGCTCACAGAGTTCTAGGGCAACATCGCGGAGTGGGCAGATATCCGGGAAGGGACTGACAGGCGACTGAGCTGTGGCCGGCGCGCTTAGCGCCCCGAACATGCGGCAGTCCCTGCGGGCGACCCCGGGCTGCGGAGAGGCGGCGGCGGCGGCGGCGGCGGCTCGGGAGGGAAGGAGGCGGCGGCGCCGGCGGAGGTGGCGGCGGGGCCGACCGGCGCCCTGCGCGGAGCCCTAAAGAGGCTGCTTGGCGCGGCCTGGGGCCTCGTCGACAAGGATGCTGTCCCGAAAGAAGACCAAAAACGAAGTGTCCAAGCCCGCCGAGGTGCAGGGCAAGTACGTGA